GATTTTTAATCTGAAAAAATGTTCTCACATTTATAAAAATGTTTAGGCATGTAATAAGTGTGAAACAAAAGAAAAATTAAAAAGCGAATAGAGGAAAAAAAAGGAAAAAAAATTGCCAGAAGCAAACTTCCAATAACGTGAACAAGAGGCCTCACTGTTGACAATTCTTAATATTTAGCTATTCAGATGGCCAGATAATAAAAAGGCCCACTGATAGCGTAACTAGTTTTTATCTCATACTTCCTTGGTTCCAAAAAATTTGAAGTTTTAGGTCTGCCATTAATCAGACTTTTTATGGTTTGACCAAGTTTATAGAAAATTTTACTTTTTTTTTACGTACGGAGTATACAGCTATGGATTAAAACGGCTCAACAAAGGCAGGAGGTCACCTTCTACTACGAGTCCAAGTTAGAGAAATGTGGCTAAAATTGATAAGGATGATCACCCCTCTGATTTCTGGCTAATAAACATGGATGGTGTTATAAATTACTCCGTCCGTCCCATAACACCAGTGTAGTGTCAAAAACGTTTTTATATTATAGGACGGAGGGAGTAGAAGTGATTGCACGCTTTCTAGGATATATAACATGGACGACCAAGTTGCAACAAAGTAGGTATAATATATACGTTGTATATATATACATGCCAATAAACCTGCAGCCATGGAAGCAGCTGAGCGCGTGAGACGATCGAGGTTTACCTTGTTGACACGCTGGAGGACGTTGGCGTCGGTGGCGTGGCCAAAAGCGTCGAGGACGTCGCCGAAGAAGACGGTCATGAGGGGCGTGGTCATGCCGTTGGCCAGCGCGGCCACCGTGCCGACCAGCATCAGCAGCTGGTCCTTGCCGTCGGCATGCCGGAACAGCCCCATGAAGGACACCTTCTCGTGCCGCCCCGCGCTCTCCTCTCCCTCGGCAGCGACTGCTGCTGCGTCCATTGTTGCTTTAATTGTGTATGTACCCAATCCCAAAAGCCTACATTTCTTCTACTCATTTGCAGGGTATTTATGGGGCAGGCCAATGACTGGAGGTGGAGGAATATTGTAGCGTTGCACACCCGGCCTGTTGCCAGAGTAGGGTAGTTGCCAGAGTAGGGTATTATTTGTGCTCCACTAACAGCAAAGAGTAGGGAATGACGTAACTGGATTAGAAAGCGTACTTCTGGGCCGTCCTTGGCGTCGATTCTTGATTTATAACAGCCAAGCACATCGTTGAATATTTTATAGATGATGTATACATTGTTTTAAGTCTAGAAGTTTACAACCATATGCTTGAAGAGGTACTGTAACACAACTGCACATTTGTAGACATAGACTTGAACATCGTTGACAATACAGAACTTTTTGACATATGCTCAGTAAAAAATTAAAACATCTAACATTATAATTTACTTGACAACGAATACTTTCATGTTTTTGTGCAAATTTTCGTGAAGAAAGGATATGTGTGGTGGTCGGGGCAAACAATTGCATGCGGTTAGAACACAAACTCACGTTCATTTTCCAAAACAATTTTAGATTCTTTGATCTACTTTTACTATTTTTTCAATTTCATTGGTCTTGGCTTCTTGCCGGAGCAAATGAACCTGAGCTACAAAATGCCTTTCCCAATATGTCATTAGCAAAATATAATAATTTAAAGGTAGACATTTAGGTGTGAGACGATCGACCAAGTTCAGTGATATTGACAAAAAATGAACTTTTCGAGGAATTCAAAACCAAATCTGGCCCTTTGGGTGAGCACCAGTTATGTCATGCGATGAGCTTATATTACAGTAGACAAACGGTGCCGAGTCACCGTGTGCGCTGTTGGTTCAGCAGGACCGGTTGACCGATCTATATATATACGCTGTTTCATAATCATAAATTCATAATCTAAAATTTCAATGCATCTTATCTCAGCATTGGGCAATCATGATGCTAGCAGCAGTCTAGATGAGTTGCATCGGCAGCCTGTACCTAATCTTGGACAGACTTTTCGTGGCATCAACTTGATTACTCCGGATTAGTATGAAAAGATGCTCCAACTTGCTTCACATGAGTACAGAACCTGGCGCCACAGCAGATAATCCAAACGGTATAGGAAGAGAGCATCTCTACAGTACCGTTTAGTTGCTTATACTTAACCTAATCTTCATGTATTATTGTACACCTGTCACCTGTCCAACTGGTATAGAAAGAGCGAGCATCCTATTGTATTGTCTAGCTGTTTACTTGACCTATTCTTTCTGTATTATTGAGTGCGTACAATCCATCAGCATGTTGGTTGGGGCCAGCGTCAACGAATCAATTCACCCGACCCAACAACCACCTGAGGATCCCCCTGATGAGCTTGCCCAAAGCTCTTGCCCTCGTCGATTCCGTTGGGAGGGACAGGCTCAAGACCAAGGGGCTCAGGGTGTTGCTCTCGCAACTAAAGGATACCACCTACGATGCTACGCCCATGCTTTAAAGCTGGACCCACATAACCAGCGAACATCAGATTTTTAGGCATGACAAATCGACTGTTTTTCATGGCAAGTTGCATTCGGCGGCGATGGCAAATTTAGTTGGCGAGTATGAAAAATCCGACTTAATTCATTTTTTGCCAGGAAAATTGTCGTGCCTGGAAACTAAATTTGCCATCCTCAAATGGCCATGAAAAACTTTCGATTTGCCATGTCTAAAAAACCGACATCAGATGTTTAGCCTTTCTGTTAAAGTTTTGGAAAAGGAAACATTTGACCTCATGAAATGTCCAAAATTTTGGAAATTCTTTGGTTTTTGAAACATCAAAATCCCAGTCAAACTTGATGAATTTTACTCTAATTCAAATTAGTTTTGAAATTACTTTGAGTTCGGTCCGGACTTTCAAGGTTGCAAATATTTGGAAACCCACTGACACTACCAAAGTTCCATTGAGATTTTGAGGTTTGCTCTCTCTCGTTCCAACCTACCACCATCGCGCTCGCGAATGAGCTCTGAGAATCTCTCTCGATGTGAAATGATTTTCCAAAAGTAGTCCTCTTAGCCAACAATGCCTTGCCACAATTGATTCTTTGCACCCATTTCTACATTCATATTTTTTTCCAGATGGAACCTACCCATGTGGAGGCGTTTGGGGAAGCAAATCTATTATGGTTTAGGTTTTGCATACTTGTACTTTGCCATTTAATCTCTATTTTATTTGAAATTCAGCTAGTCTCAAAATATTATATGCAATTACATTTTATTTACAACTTATTATTTTCCACATATTACATCCGCTTTGAAAATATTTTTCAACTATATTGTGTATTAATCTCGGTTTCTAGAAATATTAACTGAACTTACATATGTTTTTTTTTACTTCGGTTTGCAAAAACAAAGTCCAAGTTTCCATTACGGTTTCATTTGTGCCTCTATCACATTTTCAGCTCGTAATGAATGGATCTCAAAGAGGAAATCCAAAATGCTTTACATGTGAGAAACTCTATAAACCATGATGAAACACCTTCAATTATATGTCATACCATAAAAATAAATAGAATGAACCTTTCAAGAAACCTCTTTCACATTAACCATGTGTCACATTGACATGAAATAAGTAAAACATGTTCAATTAGATTCATTAATATTACTTTCCAAAACATTCCCAAGATTGATATTTGAAGATTTTAACACCATGAATAGTAATATCCAAACTAATAAAAAACAATCTTTAGAATCAAACTAAAAAGGCATGGGTAGATATGATGACACCGACTGCAGAGATACCCACTACTCACTTACTCAGCAGCCTACGAGAAGACAAAATTAAGGTTGAGAGGGGCCAACCCCCCCACTAATAAAAACTTATAGTTTCAATAGAATATATTCATGCTTAAAGGAAAAAATAAATCATATTCTATGTATTTATACTGCAAGTGCACCAATCATATGAATTGCCTACTAGAAAATAAATTGGGCCTGCCCCTAATGTGCCCCCCAAGCTAGTTGTCTCAGTTGTCAAAGAGGAGTAAGGTAGATGGACCAAAGGAGAGAGGAGGTATTGAAAAATGGGTTTATACAGGCACACGTCTCAAGCAATGAAAATATGGGTGATAGATTCAATTCTAGTAGAAAGCATCTCCCTGGGAAAATCACATCCAATTTGCAGTAAAACTTGAAAAAAATATGGATCATGTTACTAAGTTCATCATCTTTGAACCGATCGATCATGACACATGTGTTGTAGTGAGCACATGCTAATGCATGTGGGCACTTTCGCTTGTGATTCATGGAAAAAGCTTTTATAAAAGCATGCATTAACTACAAAGAGTTTCAGTGTATAATGTATGGTAGGCATAGTACAATTTCCCAACAGAATAAATAAATTTAACAACAATAGTATAATTGTCCCATCCTATATATACCACAACAAATATGCACTCCTGTCAAGTAATGAGGTTATACTTTATATACAAAAGTATATTTTTGACCCTCAAGTTTACAAGAACTCGACATATGTCCCTCATCCTTTTTTGGTCGAGATTCCGTCCTCATGCTTATAAACTGGAGAAATTTCATACCAAACCAAAAATGTGAAAAAAAACTGCTTATGTGTCACTTGTTTAGATGAGGGAGAGAGAGGAAAAGGAGGAAGGTCCTAAGGGCTTAGCCAAAGTACATATATTGACAAGATACCAAAGAAGTGCCTTCTAGAACATATATATAAGAAGAGAAACAAGACTTGCAAGATATTCATACAATACATGACATGTACAACATTCTTAAAAGGCGATTTTCAAATGTATATACATATAACATAAAAATACCTCGCTTTTCACATCGACATGGGAAATGCATGTTTGAGAGTTAGAAATGATTGAAAATCAGAAGCAAATATTTCGTCGTAAATGCATACAATCTTACTACATCACATATAATTATATTGGTAGGAACATCAAACGCTAGTTTACATCTTGAGCTCCCCGTAAGGTCCTTTCAAACAGTAAATGTGCCATACAAATTGGAACCCATCGTAATTAACGATCCTAGGTTATTATGATGACGTCGATTGGAGCTCAACCAATGAAGCATACACTCCATCTTTGATGTTCATCAAGGACACATGACTTCCTTTCTCTAATATCACACCATCATGGAGAACTGTAATGGTATCAACGCCTTTGATCGTCGATAGGCGGTGCGCCACAATAATTGTTGTTCTGCCAACCATAACATGATTTAAGGCAATATGCACAATCCGTTCAGATTCAACATCCAAGGCGCTAGTTGCCTCATCGAGTAGTAGTATCTTAGGGTCTTTTAGTATGGCCCTTGCAATAGCCACCCGCTGCTTTTGGCCACCAGATAGTTGTATCCCTCTCTCTCCAACAGAGGTGTCATATCCATGAGGAAGGCTTGATATGAACTCATGCGCATTGGATGCCTTCGCTGCTGAAATGAGCTCCTCCTCCGTGACTTCCCCATTCTTGCCATAGGCTATGTTGGCACGGATTGTGTCATTGAAGAGCACAGGCTCTTGGCTCACCAGTCCAATTTGGTCCCTCAACCATTTGATGTTTAATTTGTTGATTCCCCCTCCATCCAATAAAATGGTGCCTGAAACTGGATCATAGAATCTCTCCAATAGTGCAATTACTGTTGACTTGCCACTACCACTCTCTCCAACAAGTGCAACACTCTATACAAGACCATAGAAGAAGTAAGTGGCTCATTACATGCATGAATGTTGAAGATATAACAATGCGATGCGAATACGTGAAGTGGGTAAATTAACCTTGCCGGTCGAAATGTGAAGTGTAAAGTCGTTGAAGATGAAAATATCTGGGCGAGTTGGGTAGTTGAAGCTGACATGTCGGAAATCAATGTCACCCTTGACCTCATCTAATGTAAAACCCTCATTGTTGCTCGAGTCAATTATTGACTTCAGGTCCAGCAAAGCAAATATAGACATAGCTGAATCCTTTGCTTTATTTGAATCGGAGACCATAGCACTTGTTTGAGATACTCCCATAGTTGCCAAAACTAGTGCAAAGAAAACCTACAAAGTATGACTTACTATGTGAAATGACATTGTGAAAGTTATGTCTGTGGTTAAAGATGGAGCAATTATGAAAATAAAATAATGAGAAGAGAATCCTCAGCAAGAAACTGTACTACTAAAAATGCATTTGCGTACCTCAAAAATGTCACCAAAATTTGATTTTCCATGGCGCACGAATTGCCCTCCGACATAGAAACAAAGACCATACGTAAGGTACAACATCAAGTACGAGAAACCAAATCCAATACCCCCAACTACTCCAGTTTTGAATCCTTGATTCATTGAGTCTTCACACTTATGATCATATATTCTTGTAATTCTTTTCTGTGAACAAAACGAAGCGACGGTCCTTATACTAATAACTGCATCTGTGGCCACTTGACTCGCATCTTCATGCATCATCTGGAGAATGAGCAATCCTTTGAGAATGTGAAATAACAACTTTCTAGAGTAAGTGTTGGTTCTTACTAAGCATGACAGAGTAAAATAATAAAGACTACACTTTATCAACACCAGTGAATATTTTTTTAGTTATTGGTATTTTATCTTTATCTTACTGTTGTATACATGGAGTTATTTTTGTTGACTCTTCCACTTACCTTTTTGCCTTGCTAAAAATCTTAAAGAGGACATTTAATGGCTAACTAATTGAACAACAAATCTCCCCACATAACAAACTAAGTTCACCACCTCCATAGAACTTTCTAGTGAATATGGATCATGAAGTAGGTTAGAATATGAAAATGTGTGGTTATGGATCCAAGGGCGCATTGCAATGTTCTAAGTCAAGTGGAACACCGCCATGACACTAGCCAAGATGAAACATGGATGTGCACACATCATATGAGATATATGAAGCAAGCCAAGCCAACGTCCCTGGCTTAAAATAATTCGTAGAAAATCAAGGACCGAAAGTTGGCATGCTCTATTTTATTTAGCCAGAAAGGTGTGTCTTATAAATAGCAAGACTCCACATTTTTTGAACATTGGCAACTAACGTACTTGAAATTACTTTGACTAAATAATATGCATAAAATTTCTCACAAGGTACTTCTAGAATATATCGTTTTCTTGGCTTTTCATGCACATTATATATTATAGTGCAAATAAGTTGTGAAGTTGCATGAAGACATTGCCTATGCACAAAGAAACGACATATATAGAATTACAAGGTGCGTAACATTTAGTTTTAGGAAATCATTCTCAAAACGTAATATTACTTGAGGAACATCCCAATAGTTTTCTGTAAATGATTACCTTAGCATCTTGACTAAATCCACCTATGAACTTCACATGGGCATAACCTTGTAGACCCACAAGTGGAATCACACATATTAGGATCAAAGCAAGCTTCCAATCAGCTATCATAGCAATGAAAACTCCCGTGACAAGTGTGGAGATAATCTGAACAATTAAGGACAAGTTATCTCCCACTAAACGCCGAACATTCAGAGCATCAATTGATAGTCTTGCACCAAGTGCGCCGCTGTAGGATATAGTTTTAGCAATTATATTACGTGAAATTAAAGTTCAGAAAACCTAGAGGAAGAAGAAATTAACCAAGAGAAAAGCTGCAACACACCTGGAATTTCTCGGATCATCAAACCAAGCAACTTCTTGGTGCACAATGCTTTGAAATGATAAAGCCCGGATGCGCTCTATAAGCTTTCCTCCAGCTATTCCAAACAAGAAGAACTCTGCTGGTATTACGATTATCGATATGATACCTATGACAACACATATGAGACCCCAAAAACTAGTATCCTTTTTTAGTTTATCCGGTGGCTCATAGAAAGCTTTAATGGCACTTGAAAGCATTAAACCAAACATTGGGAAAAGCACTCCATGAATTGCTGCCGCTAAGGATCCTAGTAGAAGAATTGGTACCTCTGGCTTATTAAGAAGAGCTAGTCGTACCATGGGAGATTTTTTTGGGAACACACCATCACAATTGTACTCTTTCTGATTCTCCTTGTGTGTATCATTTCCTCCAGATGATTCAACTGCGCTAGGTAGTCCGAAGGGGAGTGTGAAAGAGTGCCTGCTACTGCTTCCTAGAGAACCACTAGTCGATCGCTTCATTGACAGGCTTGCACTTTTAGACCTTTGAGTAGACAATCGACGATCTATTCTTTGTTCTTCATGGCTTTCTTGTAGTAGAATAAGTTGAGAGTATGCACCATCTAAGTTTAGTACTAATTCATCGTGGGTACCTAAATAAAAGTACATTTATATATGTAAGAAAATGATCAATTTAATTGAAATATTCCAAACATGTGATTGATAAAAAGTGAATGATGCGAATGTAATCCCGACCTTGCTCAACTATCTTTCCTTCTTGAATAACTGATATGCAATTAGCATTCCTAACGGTACTTAAACGATGTGCAACCACAAGCGTACTTCTATCAACCATGATCCTATCCAGTGCCACCTGAACTATTCTCTCTGCTTCCACATCTAATGCACTAGTAGCCTCATCTAACAAGAGTATTTTGGGGTTTTTAATGATTGCTCTAGCAATCGCAATCCTTTGTTTTTGTCCCCCTGAAAGTTGAGCACCACGTTGGCCAACCATTGTGTCATACCCCTAGCACGAGATAAAAATAAATATTAGCACTCAACTGAAATAGAAGAACTCAGAATTAAACAACTATTTTCACGCACATTGGGCAACTTATCAACAAAATTTGCCGCATTAGCAATCTCAGCAGCTCTCTTAATCTCATCCATTGTTGCATCTTCTTTGCCATATGTTATGTTATCTTTAATTGATGTCATAAAGAGCAAGGGCTCTTGGCTAACAAGACCAATTTTCGCTCTTATTGAATCAAGGTGCAAACTCTTGATATTGATCCCGTCAATCAAAACCTCACCAGCCTGCGGATCATAGAATCTCTCTACAAGACTAACCACTGTTGACTTGCCACTCCCACTCTCCCCAACTATAGCCATTGTAGTGCCAGTAGGCACATGTAGTGAGAATCCATCAAATATTAGTTTCCCTGGCCTTGATGGGTAGCTAAAGTACACATCCTTCAACTCAATATCACCCCTCATTTCTTCTAGTTGTTTACCAGTATTGTCATCATGATCAATATCTGGTTTCCTCTTGATTATTCTGAACATTCTGTGTGCTGCTGATTGTCCTTCTGCAAAGGCAGTCATACACGGGGCTGCATTACCTAAAGATCTGCATCAAACAGTCAATATCTCTTCCACTAATGTGTTATAGGACATATGAATTCTAGTTCAAGGCAAGAGAAAGAACTCACGCTGCCCCAGTCATGATTGCTAATAGGACAGTGAGGACTTGTCCTCCTGTGTATCCTTTTGTAAGTACCAACTTCCCACCATACCATATGGCTAGGCCATAGCTAGAGAAGAGTGCAAAGAAAACAGAACCCATTCCAAAACCATTGGTAAGTCCTTCCTCAACAACATTCTCATATGATGTGTGTATTAGTTTACTGTACGCTTCTATGGCGTGCTTCTCCCCATTGAAAGAAACAACCTATTTTGTGGATATAGCCACAAGGTAACTTAGTGAGCACGCAAACAATTATTTATGCATACTGTCCATTGGATAAAACTTTAAGTTGCTTTGTGAATTGAACTTACTGTTTTTATGGCACCAATTGTTTGTTCGACAATATTCCCTGCATTACTGTATGATGCTTGACTTCTGCTTGTTATTTTGGTCATCATTTTTGTCGCTATTCCTGCAGCAAGTACAACTGGAGGTATGCATGCCAACATGACAACACATAGAAGCCATCCTTTCATAAAACCTATAGTGAAACCACCAATGAAAGTAGCCACAAGTTGTTGGAACTTGCCAACCTGAAAATTTTCATGGTGCACATCTATGTCAGTTTAATACGAGTTACTAGAATACAATGAATAGTGAAGACAATTTTTCTTATGCGCTCAACATTTGACTTCGAGAAAGTCCTTACCTTTTCACCAATAGCATCTTGAACTAGCACAGTATCGCCGGCCATTGTTGAAACTATTTTCCCGGTTGTCATTTGCATGTCAAAGAATGAGATATCCTGTCTCAAAACAGATTTGAGGTAGAGAGATCGAATTCGTGCCGCCTGCCTTTCGCCAGTAATTGTCCAACATGACACCTCTGCACAGACAACAATAGTTATTTTACATTGACATGATCAACGATATATTGCTTGCTATGATTGAGTTTGCCTGATAGAAGAGTTACATGAACCGAAAAAAGTCATCCATCTTCTTCCACTTGAAATGTAAACATTTTTATATTGAACAGTTTTTCTATTCTCTTTGGACAAGAACTCTAGGAAATAGCTTGGAATTTTCAGCCACATCGTTAACTACTTGCAAATTTAAATCACTAGTATGTGCGCTTCTCAAACAAGGTCAAGATCTGTGGTATCTCAGCAGGAGGATAATCCACATGCTCTGCATCGACCAAGGTGCAAACATACATGAACAGGTTGACAAGGTATGCTGATGCTCACGGAGAAAGGAGATGACCGCTGCTCCGATTCCCAAGTAGACAAAGTTCAAAACAGCCTGCATAAGCGAAATGACAACAAGGTGAAAACCGTCGCCCTTCGTTTACCGTCTTACAACCATGCAACATGCGCAAGTAAAGAAATCAAACTATTAGTTTATGCAGAGATGTGATGATGCGTGCTAAATAAAAGATCCTTCTGCTTGCTAGAAGTTCTTGCGATTGGTGGTGAACTCGGTAGACAGGTAAAGTCAACATACAACAAGTATCTTAAACTAAGAATACTCGCCGTGATAACCTAGCTGCAAGACAAAAGAATACTACTAGTACTACATGGAAATTCATGGACAAAACTGATGAAGCGACGGTAGACTTCATTAAACTGAGGACTGGGGATGTATATATAGTTATATACTTACTTTGTTGACGCGGTGGAGCACGTTGGCGTCGGTGGCGCCGCCGAAGGCGTCCACGACGTCGCCGAAGATGACCGTCATGAGCGGCTGCGAGACGCCGTTGGCCAGCGCGGCCACCGTGCCGACCAGCATCAGCAGCAGGTCCTTGCCGTCGGCGTGCCGGAACAGCCCCGTGAAGGACACCTTCCCGACGCTCCCCTCCTCATCCTCCTCGCCAGCATCCCTCCCGTTGGCAGCCGGTGTTGCGTCCATTGTTATACCTAGCTCGTAGCTTCAAGCTTCAGCTGTGTGTAAGTCTGATCGATTCTCACGGTTCTTCTAGTACTCATCTGCAGGGCGGGTATTTATGGGACAGGCCGGTCAACTCTCGCCTCTCGGAGTGGGTGGCCGGAATGCTATACCGCTGCCGTACTCTGGTGGCTCTTGCCGGCGGTTACTGCAGAACCCGAAGACTTTTTTTGGATCAGCCCCCCGGTTCTATTTCCAGAGAAAACGAAACCAGTGATACGAGGTTCAGTACGGCAGGGCTTGCCCGCAGACCAGCATTTCTGCAAGCCAGGTTTCGATAATCCGGACACTTTGAGCGGCCGCGTTTTGATAATCAGTAATTCAGTATGCATGCTACCCTGGTAAATCTGGGTGCAGTGGACGATAACCCGGGGTCTTCGCCGTCTTGGCTTTTCGCGTGCTGTTTTGGATCAGGGTGAACAACACGGCTCTTCTCTTCCACCTGGGGCCTGCTCTCTCTCTCTCTCTCTCATCTTTTTATCTCTTCTTCAAACAGATTTTTCGCCCTGCTTTATAAATAAAATAAAAACAGGTGAGCCGATATAAGATGGTGAGAAAATCCTTCTACTAAGCAACTAAGAGAAAAACAACATCCAAGAGAGTGACGAGAACGCCACTCACTAACGTTGAACATGAATACAGGAGTAGTCGTCACACCTAACAATAGGCAGCTGAGACTACCGAATAGGCATGAAACCGCGCCTCCATAGGAAACCACCGGACACTGTAACCCCGCCCACACCAAGCTATCGTCCGTGAGGGCCGCCTGCCCTCTCACTCCTGGTCACAAAGCGCCGATGCTACCAGCAGCAGGGCCGTATCTAAAAAAACGGGGGCCCTGTGCCAAATAAAAAAGTTTAGGTCCTTGATAAAGTCATTGGCAATTAGGAAAAGAAGATTTTGGCCCAAAGTGATTCATATCAAAAAGCGTTTCTCAAGACTAAATTAGTACAATATATATGTATCTTGTTGCTGTGTAGTTGAAGTGCATCTTACAAGAAAGCTATTCTCAAAAGTAGACATTAGTACATTACTTATCACAGAACATGCCATCTTTCTTCTCTAAAAAAACAAAAAAAAAACTTGCCATCCTTCTAGCATTCTTTTGATACAAAATATTAATGTTTTTTTTTCGTACACAATGTTCTTCAAAATGACATGATTCTTTTGCTAAAAAACTTATCAATAGCACCTTTTCAAGATTGAGTTATTAGTTCGCTATAAGCTTATATGATGTAAAGTATTAAAAATAGAACATAGAAACAAAAAGGGACGAAAAGAACTTTGATTTATTTGCGAAGAAGACCATGTGCGGCCGGTGGCAATATGGCTGGTAGTCTGGTTCAGGGTCTCATCAGGCAAGCATTTCGACTTGGACTCCGACTCCAATTGGTACATCCAGGTCACAACATAGTAACAAGCAGCAATGGAATGTAAAGAAGCATGGAGGATATGACATACCGAGAAGAAACCATCGAATAAACAGAAGGTTGATTGAGGGTGTAGGTAGCATACCTATACATTCCAACAGAGAAGCTACGAAGGAATTAATCCAAGAGAGTTGTGACGGTAGGAATGGATTTGCACGGCTCATTTGAAGTTAAAGAGAACACAGAGAAAGAAAAGGAGAATATGAAGGAGGAGAGGCGTGCGTGAGATGAAGTCCTAGGAGTAGTTACAGTGCAGGTTCTCAACCAGTCAAATGCATTAATTGGTCATTACAAGCTGTGAAAATCCAGTCAAATGCATTGTTAGGCCATCTCCAATAGGTTGTATGTTAGTTATGTTGGTAAAATGTGCATGTCGTCAACCAACAAGCTATCATACAACTACTCCAATAGGTTGTACCTAAATTATCCAGTAGATGGTAAGAAAATAAATGTGATTACTCTCTATTTCACCTTGGAGCTTGTGCAAAGGTTGTTGGTTAATCCACATACAACGATGCTCTCTCTCCACATTTATTACATGCCACATCATCACTATATTCTAGGTGGCAAATTAACCAACACCTATCTTACATTGTTGGAGATGAGATGCCCTGACATATCTCGGTATCTCATATCAACCTTCAATCATGTGTGGGAGTTGGATAACAAAACAAATCAAGTCAAATCCAACAGAGTTCTCGATATTTGACTAGATTTGAGGGTGTAGCTAGCATACCTAGTAGTAACAAATCAGGGGCCCTGTGCAGTTGAACATGCTGCACAGGTGTCCCGTACGGGCCTGACCAGCAGACAGGGATTTCTGAGGGCGGAGAGAAACATGCACAGGACAGGAGGCCACCGAAGCGCACGTGGATTTTTAAAGCTCGGGTTTCCGGACACCCCTTGTCCTTACCCTCCAACATTGCTTTGAGATCCGTGCTAGACAACTAACTTTGTATATCAGATTTTCTCTTTTTTGTTTCTTTAAAATAAAACAATATATGAACTTCAAACTTTGCAAGACACCAAAACATTCTAACTAGAATGTGGAAAAAAAGTTTCAGATTTTTTTGTCAAACATAAATATACGAAATTAGTTTTTTTGTATTAAAAATGTACTTTTTAGTATTTATATTGCACAAAAAATTCCAAAAGTTTTTTCCCACATTCTAGCAAGAATGTTTTGTTGAGCTGCTAAGTTTGAAGTTCATATGTTGTTCTATATGGGAGAAACAAAAAAGACAAATGTAATCGCACGAATCGTGATGCAAAAATGAGTGGCTAGATAAGGGGGTGTCCCAAAGCCTATGCTCTACAACATGTTTACCCCATGCCATAGTCGAAGAAGCTTCTTGCCAGGATAGCATGCCCAAAGGTACTTGGGATTGATGACGATGCCCATCCCTCCGCCGTCGCCGAACTGCTCCTCCACCGAGGCCACTCCCAATCCCTTCACCTCCTCGCGCTCCAACGGTGTAAAAGTAACTAAATGTGTACAGATTGCAGATGGACATTTGTATTAGATTCACATATGTATAGATTGTATATGGATATTTATATTAGATTCACATGTTTATAGATTATAGATGAATTTTAGATTTGATTCACATGTTTATAGATTATAGATAAACTTTCAGAATTGATTCACATGTTTATAGATTATAGATGAACTTTAGATTTGATTCACATGTTTATAGATTTTAGATTCAATTCACCAATTTTTTCGTCCATCCATACTCTTTAATATTAATTGATGGCTTCAAAAGAGCGTCGAAAATATGGTGAAACGTTGATTAATTTCCATTTCACAACATTCTGACACTCAATGCTTTTATCTTTAGCACAAGTCATGCCCCTTTTTCGTCCATCCATACTCTTTAATATGGGTTGATGTTTCATACATGTAAATATTTTTTAGTGTTTTTATTCCAGTCGTCTCTCTTATCCATACGGAGTTCTCACATGCAAATTTATCTGGAGTGCTCAAACCATGCAGGGATTCAAAAGAGTGTCGAAATTATAGCGAAATGTTGAATAATTTCCATTTGGCAAAAATTCTGACACTCAATGTTTACATTTTTTTAGCACAAGTCATGCCCTATTTTTTCGTCCATCCATACTCTTTAATACTGGTTGATGTTTAATATTTGTAAAGAATTGGTAGACTTTTATTATATTCATCTCTTATCCATATGGAGTATGCACATGAATATTTATTTGGAGTGCTTAAACCATACAGAGCTTCAAAAGAGTGTCAAAATTATGACAAAACTTTGGTTAATTCCAGTTTGCAACATTTCTCACACTCAATGTTTTCATTTTTTAGCACAGATCATGCCCCCCCCCTTTTGTTGATCCATAAGTTTTACTGCTTATTTCATACTTTAACTTATTAAACTATTCCATAACATGAACGTAGGAAACGAAGCAAACATGCCACTGGGGTGGCGACACCAGGCTAGATGCATGCCACAAGGTTCACCTCACTTGCAATGAAATCTGTGTAGATCTTCAGGATGACTTTGTGGAGTGGATAGTATGTTTTCATTCAATTAGTGCTATGCCTTATCATTTTGTAGTGTATATAAAGTTGCGCCCAGAATTATCTAATTTTTGTTTTCTTTTAATTAAGCTCATCGTATCCCTTGTTGGGGATGGGCTGAGTTCATGCATGTGGCCAACCTGCCCATCGATGTGGAGGACACAATTCAGTTTGAGATGACGCTGTTAAAAAATGGCATGCCGTTGACCCTTAGGGTCACCATCGAGGAATGGAAAATGTATTTCAATGGTCGAAGTTGGATTCAGATTGCCACAGAATTAGGGATGTAAGCTAGTAAAACAACAACCGAGGACCGCAGGCCCCCTTGGCCCCCGCATCGCTCCCGCATGGGCGACTCGGGCGGCGCCAACCCTAGCCCGCCGCCGGCCTCCCTCCCCCTTCTCCTCTACCTCGTCGCCGCCGGGGAAGGTGGCGGCGGGGATTTGCCTCCTCCGTCGTGCGCGGGGGGCTCCGGAGCCGAGGCGGCGACCTCGGGTTGTGGCGCGATGCCGTCCTTAGCCAACGGCGGCCGCCCGTGCAGGTTGGCTGCCTTGGCCGCGCGGGCGGCAAGGCGGCGGCGGGTTGAGGCTGCTGGACGCCCGGTCGTGGGGGCGCCCGTCCAGATCTGACGCCTTCGCGTCCAACGCTTGGGTCCCCTTTCAGATCCGGTCTTCGGTCGTCCCAGGCTGCCGGCGCCGGGTTTGAATATGGGGCTGGAGGCGGTGAAGTTCTCGGAGAAATCCAGGCCGATTCAGCCGGCCACGTTGGCGGCGACGCCCGCGGGCGCCGTCCCCTACTTGTAGGCGCCGTTATGGTACTCCCCTCCCCCTTTTGCCTTATTCCCCTGCTCGTTACTGGGCGAAAGCCAAAATCCTTCTGGATTGGGCGGCAGCGACGCCCGTGGCGTCGTCACCTTCTTGAAGGTCTCGCCTTTGGTGAGTTTTGGGGCGTTGGCGAGCTCGCTCCGTTGGTAGGCGTTTAGCGGCTGCGTGGTCGGAGTCTGCGGTGTTTGGGATTCCTCCATTGCAGCTTTGTCATCAACACTCTCGCCGTGCATTTGCCTCTCCTCGTGTGAAATTCCCTCTCAGTGCCCAGGTTCCCCTTTGTTGAGCTCGGAGCTGCATGTTGGCGGTGCTCTGGTTTGGTCTTCCCGATGGCAATGGTGGCGGTTTCCCATCTTAGCTCTTGGGAGAGCGTCTGTATCTTCCGACGGATCGGCGCCTCGTGCCAGGCGAGGGGGCAGGGAGCCCTTTCGGAGATGGAGGAGGTCGTATCCGTTTTGACCGCAGCCTATGGAGCTGACAATGTGTTACTTCCAATCTGCTAGTTGTGTCTCCTCAAGGCCTTCTTGGTGTCACTGAGCGGTGGACTGTGATCGGTGGAGGGCTTCATCCTCTTCAAGCTGCTCTTGGGCTTTAGTTTCTTCATCTTTGCTTGTAGGTTGTATGAAGCTAGCTAGCTGTTGCAGAGCACTATGTATCTCTTAGCTGTTTTGTTTTTCTGTTCCTGTAAGTGGGTTGATGATGTAATCCTGGCCGGTTGATGGTTAAACTGAAAAAAAAAAGTTTTTGTTGCACTAAATATATATGTTGTATATATGCACACAAAGCACTTTCAATTATACACTTATTATATTGTAGTGTGTAAGTATTAAACATTAGAGAGTTGTTGTACTAAAGTGTGTATTTGAAATGTGCTATTATGACATTAGGGTACTAATATTATTGCTAAACTGAAAAAAGTTACAACGGCAACTAAAAATGCTGCCATGGCAGTGCCTTTTTTATTTTAGCATCAATCATCCTCCTAGTTACATTAATTATAGCAACAATCGCGGATTGTTCCTTTATTAGCGCAGAATGCAGTATCTAGTATGTTGCCAAGAACTGAATGCCGCCCTCACGACATCTTGCACACATAGTTCCGGATAATATTACCAATATATAATTGTGAAAAAATGATTAAATCTATTTTATTGTATCATTTATAGAGATACGCAGCCAGCCGTGGTTGAGCTTGCAAAACAAGGGGTTCCAGTAGGGCAAGGCTTGCATTGCTTTCCTGTAGACTGATAGTTTTAACGCCTGCAGGTTTTGTCCAAGTGAAGCCCTGCAGCATCCTTGCAAACAACATCATTGTGATAGAGGTACCAAGTGAAATCCCATGACAACCCCTTCTCCCACTGCTAAAAGAAATGAAACGTAGGCCTGGCTCAGTGAGAAGAACATTCACGGTATTCAGATGCCTCTCAGAACGAAACTCTATTGGTTCGCTCCAAATCTTGGGGTTTCGGCCAAGTCCAAGCCGGCTTAAAAGGATGTGGCTATCCTTTGGGATGGTGTAGCCAGTGATAGTGGTGTCCACCATTGCAACATGGGGTAAATTAAGAGCATGGTATGGGTGTATGCGGAAGGCCTCCCGGATACACGATTTGAGATAATTTAGCCGAGGAATATCAGACTCCTGGACTAGTCTATCTTTACCAACGACAGCGTCGAGTTCATCGGTTGCTTTTTGCATGATCTCTGGTCTGTTCATCATCTCGGCGAGCGCCCACTCAACCGCATTTGATGGGTTGTCGACTGCTGCAAGCACCATTTCCTACACCGGTCGATGTTGGAATAAATAAAGCAATCAATCAATACAATACAACAACAAAAAAGGTCAATACATATATAATATATGATTGAAGAATAATTAATGAACTTTCTGTTGAGGTAGATCGTACTAACCGCCGTTTGTGCTCTTATTTCTTGTAGGGATAGCAACGGTTGTCCCTCTGCATCTTTAAGATGAACTAGGACATCCAAAAAGTCTCTAACCTCTTTATCCTCACCACCTTTCTCAAGAGTGGATGACCTTTCATGGATCCGCTCCCATATGATGGGATCATGCAACCGGTTGAGTGTTCTCATGACATCCATGGAAACCTCCTCATGGCCATCCAAGTCGAGGCCTACCAGGGCTGGGATGTAGTCAGACACGCAGAAGCTGTACACATGGTTGAGGGCCTTAAAAAGAGCGGCCGCATGTGCCTCGTCCTCATATCCAGGCCCATTAGTTGACGAAGCCGGTAGGTTGCTAAAGTATCTTTTACCGAACACAAGCCTTCTTATCAGGTTACAACAGAAATGTTGTGCCACATGGCGCACGTTGACAATGTTTTTTGCATGTGGCATCATGCGATGACAAGCGGTGGTGTTAATGTACCTTACAAGGTGGTCGTACTCCTCCTTCCGTAGGTGGTTGAGCTTCTGCTCCATGGACGAGGTGAGGATCTCCGAGGTGAGGACGCGCCTCATCTTTTTCCACTGCTCTCCATGCGGTGACAAGACGGAGCCCTTGTACCCGAAGCTGAATGTACCCGAGGCGAAGGTGGTGGGACGGGAGGCGAAAACTTCATCCTTCTTCCGTAGTACCTCACATGCTATCTCTGGGCATGTCACAACAATGACATGAGTAGCTCCGAGACGGAGGCACATGATGTGTGTGTTCATCTCCTTGAGAAGGCGATGGATCCACCGGAACACTGCCGGCTTGTTCCAAACCATCTGGTGCATGTTCCCAATGATGGGCAGTGTGGCAGGCCCCGGGGGCAGCAGACCTCGTCGTGTCCATTCCTTCTGGGACAATACCACTCTTTTGCTTTTTCTGAGAAAATACAACAGCAAGGTAGCCATGATAATTATAACCAGCGTACCAACAAGAGTCATATTGCATGAGCTGGTCAGGGTGCTATATGGACTATCCCCGCGAAAAAAAAAGAAGGTTGCTATATGGACTAGAATAGATGGAAAGCTCTGGAATAGGTAGATAGGTTGGGGGTGACAAAGGGGTGTTTTAAGACTTGTGTCCGAAGACACTCCTGCTTGGTGCATCCAACTTGGTTAACTGTAGCGTATTTATAGGACATCCGGGGAGCTAGCTAGCTTGGCTGCAGTTCGTCCACGGTTCCATGCATCGTGGACATGATCAGGTTCATATAATTATTTTATTAGTTAGAGATATTCTTCAGTTTGATCAGCTTCATGAATTTTTTTCCATTTGCCAATATCAGAGAAGGCATCTGCTGAGGTAGTTCATATGGTGCCCTTTATCCAGACCCTTTCTCAGGTATAATTTCTGGATTTTTACTGCAGAACCGTTGCTTAAGCGATTATTTGTTTGTTTATTCATCCCTAAATTTCACTTGTGTCATGCGTGGCCTGCATTCCTTGGAGATCAGAGACTATCTCTTCTTTCACTGTCAATTTGTCCTCGTAACCAATGGCGGAGGGTCTTGGTGACCATCCCGGTCCCTTCGCCTCTACGAAATCTTTCGGCCTCTTTAACGTTTCTAAGTGTTTCCGCCCTCACCTCAATAAATTGCTGCACGCTCCGCCACTTATGTAATATAACAGTACTGAATGAATGAGATTCACTGGGGCCGGGTTTCTGTGGGTGTCCGTCGACCCGTACATTCACTTTCTGGAGCCATTCTCTCTTCCACACACGCATTAGCACAAGCTAGCACATGATGCACCAGTGTTTGGTGTCTCAATTCTTCCAGGAGCGTACCGGAGATGGGAAAGTATTAGGTGATACCAACCCTCCGATGCTCCTATGCTACCAACTTAAAAAAATTCAAATTTAAACGTTCCGAAAATTATGAAAAAAATTGATCCAAATACACTTATGTTGACAACCCCTAAAATTCAGATCCAAATACGAATTACACACGGAGAAACAAAAATGACAAATTCAGATGTGAATAGTGTCATTTTTGTTTTTGTCTTCTTTTGACACTATTCATCATGGATTTGTCCTTTTTGGTTCTCGGTGTATATTTTGAATTTGGATCTGAACTTTTTAGGGACTGTTGACATAAGTGTCTTGAACATCCATGATTTTTTTCAGAATTTTTTGAAAGTTAAAATTTGAAAATACAAAGTTTGTATCATGGGAGCATGTAAGGGCTGGTATCACATGATATTTTCACGATGTTGACGAGTTACCAAGGCTCAAACCGCGAGCGAGCGGCATACTATGACCATTGATTGATTTGTTTTTTTAATGCCAATGACCATTGATTGATTAGTTACACATGCATATTGCACGATGGACAAGAAAATATTGCAATAGGACATCTCCAATAATTGTAAGGGCATCTCCAACACTGGCCCACAAACCGGACACCGCATCTGTCCTAGGACAAGGGGGAATCAGTCCGTGCACACGGATATGGGAACCGGCCATCCAAAGCAGTAGTGCCGCGTTGACTTCGACGATGAACGGCATGACACTAGATGTCGGGGACTGCCTCCCCAGCTGCTTGGCGGCGTAGTAGTATGGAGTCTTGTAATGCTCGGACCATGGCGGCGTTTGCACGATCAGTGAGGCCCTGCGCCCCGGGCCCTGAACTCCACCACGTCCAGGACCTGCACGCCCACTGCCTCGCCCACCACTAGCATGCCCACCGCTGGCCTTCTACTTCTTGAACGTTTCCTCCTTTGTGGGTCTTCGCTTTGACGTGGCGATTTTGCCGTGTCATCAAGTTAATCTGTCGGGCAAGCGTGAAGCTCGGATCCTCCATCTACGACATGGTCTCCTCCGGGTCCATGGTTCGGCGGTGGGAGGGAGGAAGAGAATGGAGAAAAGGGCGGGAATTTGGTGAAGAGCGACGGGACGGAACAAGAGAATGGGGGATTTGGCCGCGGAAACAGTGCGGCTAGCTACAAAAGTGCAGGCTCTGCCTCAGGTTTTTGGTGGTCCGACGGTGTCGAAGTCCTTCGTGGCTCGGTTCTGGAC